AAGGTCAGACGCCTGCTTGCTGTCTTCTTATGTCTGAAATCAAGAGATATTGTTTTCAAAATGTAAAGTTAGTTTTTGTCCCGAGATCATTAACGGGGCAGGGGAACAGGCCAAAGTCCTGACATACAACCTATAGTAATTTTTTTGAACCTCTTATATCTTTGCTTTTTTGTGTGGGTACTGAGCTGTAAAACATGGTTGAAAACGTAAAGTTTCATATGCTCTGTACCTACAGCACGGACGTAATTTGGGGGGGGGGGGGGGGGGGGGGACACAGGAGACATGTGCCCTGACTTTTTCAAAAGGCCGTTTTGGTCCCCTGCAGTTTTTACCGTCCATAAACAATGTTACGCTATAGTGAACAGAGACTGGTGGCGAGCACTAGGACCAAGCGGAAACGGCGCTCAAGCTGAAGCCTGTCTCCCTTAGTTTAGACCCGCCCACCAAGCTCCTCGATTGGCTCTGCCGGTTCTGTGTGATTGGCCGTCCCCGCTGTCACTCCATTGTGCAACCCGGTCTGCTAGTTGCCAGGAGTCCTCATTAATTTGCCACTGTAAATTGGGCGTTTGTTCTGCCTGGGTCACGTCAGCTGGAAGGATTGTAATATCAGAGGTTTCATTTACATTAACGTTTGAATCGGTGTCGATGTCGTATGTGCGTGCGTGTGTGTGTATGTGTGTTTGGTAATTAGGAGCAGCCAGGATGTCTAAAAAAGAAAAGTGGACATAAGAGACTTCTTTAGAAGTCAAAGTGTAAGTTACTCAAAGAAATGCGTTACATCCATCCTGCAACACCTTCACTGGCTCCCAGTCAAACCAAAAAGTGAACAGTAAACTTAAAAGTAGTAATAGAAGTAAGATAAGATAAGATATTCCTTAATAGTCCACAATGGGGAGAATTCCAATCTTTACAGCAGCAAAGTTAGAAAAAAAACAGTATAAAGACAGTATAAAAACAGTAAGAGTATGAAAAAATAATATAATATAATATAATATAAACACTGTACAAGAGAGAAAAAACAGTAAAAAACCACAACAGATAACACAATAACAAATACTAGCAGCAGTTGCAC